GCGTGCACCAGGGAGGAAGGGAGCAGGAAGGGAAATGTTAAATAAGGCATATAAGTCATTCTTTGGTCAAAAATATTTGTATGAAATGCTGGAAAGGAAGTCTCAATTCCTCCCTTTGCCTGAGATCATTGTTAAAAAAACTCAGGGGATGAATATTCAAACTGAGCTTAAAAATATGATCATGGAAATCGGTGAAATATCTGCAAGGTACAAGATTCCTGTCACTTCCTGGAATATGGATCTTTTCCAACTCCTAAGCTGATACAGCATGCCATCTGGCCATAAATGTTGACGTAAAAGGCAAAATATATGAACAATGAATCATAAGGGAAGAGAGAAGCTGATATGCCTAAGTCCCCAGCTAATAAGAGCAAAGCAAATATTTCACTTAGCATGGGCTTTTTTCATCCTCCTTTTGTCAATTCATTCAGGATCTCATAGCCTAGCAGTGGGGACAGCAGTCTGAGGTTCTTTACTGAGCTGTGTTCACTGACTTTCTCCTCCCTCAGCTTCAGTGCTGGCTGAAGGTAGAACATAACATGGAAGGTAGGAGATGAGATTTATCATCTTGTCCTGCTAGTTCGGAACAAGTCTCAAATAGAAAAGGAAGGCCAGCTAGACTGAGAAATTTCAGAGTAGGCAGTCATAGTAGCTATTTAAACATCAGAAGAGGCTTCAGTCTTACTTTCTTCTTCTCCATCATCCCCATTGCATAATTCCCACTTTCTAGGTACTCCTATGGAAGTGTTTGAATTTTCTCAACAAAGAGAGATCCTGGCGCATACTAAGTTTTTCAAATGTTCTGAAGTTTTTCAAATGTTATAAAAATATTTCTACTCATGTAAGATTATTTAAAACTTAATTTTCTCTCACATTACCATTCTTGTCCTGCTTCCCATCTCCACTCCCCAAAATGGATAGAAGTTTCCAGCAGCATCCCATATAATCCAACACATGAGGAGTGAAACTGCAAATACAAGTTCCCCTCCTACAGGTTGCGTGCTCCATTCCCGGTCCTCCCAGGGAACAGGATCCTGCTAGTGTAGTGGTCACTAAGCATTTCCCTCCTCTTGTGAACTGCCCAATGTTTGGCATTTCCTGACAGTCTTTTAAGCGTCGCTTCCACTAACTGAAAATCTCAGCCACACCACACTATTTCCGGAATATAAAGAAATCATGGAGGGTCTAGAATCACCAGAAGGAAGGAGAGGCTCTTTTCTTAAAAAAGGGGAAATAAATAGATCATTAATAGTGAGAATATGATTTCCTCTTTCCTCCTTTTGCAGCTTCTTCCTCCCATCCTTCAGGTACAGTGTTTATCAAGTGAGATTTGCTGGCAACCCCCATCTCACAGTTTGCTTCTAGATCACATCACATGTGTTAAGAAGTGGCATAATCACAAGGTAGCCTAATAAATGCTCATGTACTGGTCAGTTAGGTAATGGAGCACCTCTCCTCATTAAACTCAGGCAGAGTTTCAAGTTAACTGCTCTTATCTGGATAAGAGTTGGATAAGTATCCTGGTTGGATAACCAGGAGTTGCAGACCTAGTTCCTAGGAAGTTTGAAGTACTCTAAAGAAGTTTGCAGGTGATATCCTTATATAAGTGATTTGCCAGAGCCTGGAAAACATAGGTTTGGAGGTATAAAGAGGTCTTGGTTTTATACAGCTGGCAGATCCTTTTTCTAGTCTCTTCTGTAGAAGTTCAAACTAAGAGAGGGACTTTTCCCCCCATGCATTATCTTCAGCTCAGCCATTCCATATCAAACTAGTGATATCAGTAGAAAGAAGTTGTGTCTTCCTGGGACTCTGATCTTAATATGCGCAATGTTTCTAAAGGCTTAATTTCAAAATTTTGTAAAGATTTAAATTCACTGTTGTCATGGCTTGTCAGGGAAGTATCATCGTTTGTCAGGGAAGTATCTGACAGCGACATCTGAAGAAAAATGTTATTGAATATGTGGAAAAGCCCATGGTGTTGTTGATCTTCAGGCAGTGTGAGAGCGCGCCAGGGTGCATGCAGTCCCTGTGCTGGTTCCCACGTTGGCTTAGTGCCCTCTTCACAAACACGTCCATCACTGGCAACCTTAGGGGAATGGGTTCCACTGAAACCATCCAGTTGCTGAAAAACAAACTGTCGCTCTTCACTTTCTAACCCTTAAATGAAACAGCTCTTCTCCATTAAAGGATAAATAGCGTGAGCAATTTATGATTGTGAAGGCAGAGTAGACTCTATTTGTAGGTTCAAGATGGGTCCCCTTCTGTAGAGCTCTTTGTAGGTCAGCAAAGCCCCAACACTTAAGAAAATGCAAGTTTAAAACTTTTATGCTATTTGAAATCCACTCTCATACTGAAATTTATAGCCCATTCATGCTCAGCTCGTAAGTCTGGGATTGGTCCTATAATAAAGTGTGCAAATTTTCTACTGAAGCAGAGTTATGCTAAAAACAACTGATTTGGGGAATCCATGAGACTTTATGCGCTCATATTTTACTGAAAAATGCCTAACTCTACGTGGGCAGAGCATAAGACAGGAGAAAGGAAGGTCAGTAACTGCTACAGCAGCGCTTACTCTTTTAGTGCAGGAAGCACAAGAAAATACAGGCTGACCACAGCAGGCTTCAGACACATTTACTCTGTTCTCTATGTGCTGCCCATAGAGCGAGATGCATTTTTAGGAGCCCCACAGCCTTCATTAGCTTCAGGATATGAATTCTACTAATTATTTTTGTTCTGGAAAATTGAGCATGAGCTTTTTCCTGATGCACAAGCTGGAGTGGGCAGCCTTGGCGCTGCTGCAGGGGACAAGGGGACAGCCCTATGAGCAGAAAGAAAGCAGGAGGATCAGTGATGAATAATCTGATTTTCTTGTATCTACAGGCAGCAGATTCAACCAGGGGTACTCCCAACTTGTCACCACAGCCAATAGTCTCCTCAAAACACCCTCTGTCAAGAGATAAAATGCTCCATTACTGCTTACTAGTGCTGAGCTCTGGAGACACCCAAGGAGAACCAAACTCCAAAACATGCAGCAAATTAAACAGCCACACAGGAAAATTTCAGATAGCTCCTTCAAAGCAAACTGACTTGGAATCAAATTACCTCTAGCCCTTTGTCATGAAAGGATAGCAAACAACTTGAATATTCTATAATTTATTACTGTTGCTAGGATGAACACAGATACTTGATATCCAATTGTATGCAGAACTGTAAAAAAATATTTTTAATACAGTATCAAAATTTACACAAGTGTAGTGTCAAAAGACCAGTGTCCCTCAAATTAGCCCCTGCACGTATGTACTGCAGGCACAAATACATGTTTTACATTTTTTCATACATATATATAGATAGATAGATATATAGGAATACAACAATTTAACTTTAACTATGCAAACAATATGTTATGGGAGAAAACAACATGTAAAGATAATAGACAACTGTTTAGGACTCATATATCAGAAATATTCTAAGACTGCAGTGTTTCAAAATAAAAGGCCAGATTCTGCACTTCTAACTCAAGGAGGAGTGAATAGGTTTGTCTGAGAAAGCAATGCTGAATCGGGGCCTTGTATCAAATGGTACCAGGTGAAAATAACAACAGAATCCAATATAATTACTGCTGCAAATTAACACATTGTGTTTTTCTGAAGACATCAAATTTTACATCATACTATTATATAACAAAAGATTGTACAGCAACCGAGCTACGTTCCACTACAAATAGTCCACTAATACAGCAGGTTACAAGTGCAGAGAAAACAGAAGATCCTGACTTTGGCTCAAATCTTAGTAATCAAGAACAAACTAGAAATTGGGGAATTGTTGCATTCCTATTCTTTTTATTTAATTTTTTGATGCTCAGCTATGGTAAAAAGTCAAGAGCATTCAGTCACAAGCCAGATTCACATTCATACAAGAAACTATCATTGCTTTTAGATATACACAAAATATCTATCATTGCAATTCAATACACACAACTAATATCATATACATAGGGGGAAAAAAATAAACTAAGCACGCCTAGGGCACCGTCTGGTCAAACCTCAGGCAATCTGGACAAGAGCTTTTTGTCTTACAATAATGAAAGACATGCTCTGAGTTTAATAAAACCCTTTTCTTTGAAAGAATGCTGCAGTAGCAAGAAAAGCTTTTTTCATAACGCAACACAATCTTTTAGATTCTTACAGTTTTGTTAAATAGAACATCATATCTCTAAATTAAACAGCAGAAATAAGCATCCTAACAATTGGAAGATACTTTCAGGAAAAAAAAACCCTCTGGTGAAAATTCAGATTTGAGACCTTTAATAATAATACCTTAATATTTTGTTCATTAAAGGATTGTGAATGTCTTACATTTCTTCAGAAGATTTACGCCAAAATGAAAAGAAAACAAATTTCACTTTCATTTAGAAAGAAATTATGTTTTACTACAAGTACTGTAGTTTTGCTACACTACTGGCTGGTTAGGAGACTTTATGGTCTTTTAGCACCTCAAAATGCAAATATTCTAATAGAACAAAAAATTCAGCTGGAAATTGCCTAAGCACCATTAACTGATACTTTACAGACCGAAGAATATGTTACTAAGTAAGTGACTTTCTCAAAACTGTGGAGACCAAAGGCACAGTTTATCAATGTCTCTCCAGTCTGGTGAAGAATTTTAGTTAAATCTGATGGAAAATTCATTCGGACTTACCGGAGATTCACTGTAACTATCCAAAATAGTAATTTATTTCATGTAACTCCTGCAGAATCTCAATCAATCCAGTTAGGAATTGGAATATCTCAATGTTTCTAAATGTGGTGTGTTTAAATGATGCCTTGGCAGAGTTTCACTGGTCAGTATACTGAAATAGCAGTATACAAGGGACACGGAAAAATGTATCTGAAAGATCTCTGTGCAGAATCTCCCCTATTTCCCAAGAAAGTCTCTTGCAGTGCATGTAGACAACCCGTTGTCAGATGGAAAGTCACTGTGGATACAGTTGCTTCTTTCTTATCTCTCACCAGCAGGTCAATCTCTTTCTCGTCAGAGAGAAAACTTGCTCAGGTCCTTTTACATAGGTCCTTTATATTGATTTCCTGACAAATGTTGTCTAATTCCAGGGCACGACCCTGCAGCATCTCCAAGTTTCCTCCACACAACCTAAAGGCAGGGATAGAAGGAGATACCATTACCAACAGTTAAGATACATTTGTACTCACATATACATGCACTAGGAAATACCACACATTTGTTACACATACCATGCAGCACAGGTATGGACAGAGAGGCAGGGACACGAGACAGGAAAAGAATATTTGTCAAAGGATTAAACATTCCTTTTGAACATAGAAAGCACATGCTGCTAAGTAAAAATGACTAAATATGGAGACAAATAAACTAGCTCGTGCATCACTAGGATATTTTATGCTTTAGATAAAAGACAGAGGACATTTGCAAGCCTCAATGGAAGCCCTTTGTTCAAATATTTCCCAAACCACATCTCTTGCAGAGCTAGTTTCAGAAGCACACAGACAAGCATAAACATTTTTAATGTTAAAAGCACATAGCTCATCTCTAGAAACTTACTTGTTTTCTTAAAATCAAGTAAGATATTATAAGTATTTGTTTTCATGTCTTTTATTTATCCTTGTTATCAGTAGGATTGTGCATATAATTACTCTTCTATACATGCTTGTGTCTCTTGTTGAACCAGAGCCATGTGCAGTTTGGTAAAATTCTCAAACTTTTTTATACTGTGGACTACATACTAAAACAGATTTCTTTCCTCATACTCACATCTACTCCCATTCATGATTGCAAAACATCCATGACACAATTATGGAACTCAAAACACAGAAAAATAATAGCAAAAAGAATTTAGGAATGCATCTTATAATGAGTTACAAAAAAGATTGACCATTTAGAAACAGGAAAATCAGTTGTCTCTGTCATATTATCATGGATCACCATCGTATTGTGGATTAGAATTTCAGATTCCATATACTTAGTAATAACCAACTAGAAGTCAATTAAGTTATAACTAGTACTAAACCACCCAATCACTGGAGCAGCAGTGGTCCAACTGTACAGAAAAGCAGAAATGTTTTCCACTATTCTTGTTTACTACTTGTATTTTGACATTGCCTGAAGTAGGCAAACATGGAAAGCATGGAGAAAAGAACCACTCCAAGACTGGAAGCAATAAGATTAGTCTTCTTAACCAGGGCAAATGGAGTAAATTTAAGTGCAAAGCATTGGAAGTTACTCTCTTCAGGACTATTTTGTGGGCCACCCAAAACTGATTCCCTGCAAAATTTCCATATGTCAAGCAACTTGCCCCCTGAAGCCACCTATAATTTGAAGGCAAAAGATGGAGTGAACTAAACATCTTCTGAAAAGTTATCATCATAGCAATGCCAAAATGCATACCAATAAAAATACGTCTGTGTTTTAGCCGTTTGCCATAAAACAATATGAAATACTGTGAAGTGGCAAATGCATGTTTTTTTTTTCACTGAAACCTCCTGAAACAACTATGACTGACTCATCAGAAATGGTGGAGGGCTAGATTTGATGACATAGATATTATCAAATGACACAGACGTTTCTTTCCCACATTTTGTTGCTGATTTTATTAACTTAATATTATCAAAACATAAAGACTCTTAGACAGCTTTTGTCAAAAGGCACAGTGTACAGATATGCCATTCAACGATTTTCTGGTCAGTGAACATTAGATAATATTTACCTAGCAGCCAATGCTGACACTATAATGAACTGCAAGGTGACACTTTTCAGAGACCCTTATCTCCAGCTGAATAAATGGTTGACAAGAAGGGACAAGCAGAGCACTGAAAAGCCTATGTCCTAAACAGAATTGACAAGCTGGAGGTGAAAAAAGAATATTCATTCCATTTTTATGGGTAGGAAGCTGAGGTAAAATCCGCTTTTCCACCCCAACCCATGTGCCTCCATCTGTGGATGGTGAGTGGTGCACGGGCTACGCTTGCAGTCTTGGTGCCAGCCCACATTGCAGCTCGTTCTTGGTCTATGGGAATTGCAACATTCAGCGCTTCCAGGCGCCTGGATTTCCAGATCAATGGCAGTCCTAGGGTGGTAACCACCAGCCCACAGTGATCCTTTCAACATGATATAACGTGATAAACCCAAAGCATGAACCACACAGCCGCTGGGAGGGAGAGTAACCTTGATCAGAACCCACCTCTGCTCATGCACGTGGTGCAGTGTGGAGAGGTTCATCTCCAAGGCATTGCACTTTCGTTTCAAATAATTGAAAAAAAAAAAGAAAAAAAAATTCAAAAATGAAATAGCAATTTCATTTGTCTGAATGCGCTGAGAGGGACCCAATATCTGCAGGCTGCTCACCAAACCCTCCCCTTGTGCTGGCATATATACTGTTCTTTGCAGAGTCATGATAACCGCACATATTGCTGCCTTCTGCACATACTTTTATTTGACCCTATGCATCACATAGGTGTTTTGTATTTGCATATAAAAAAAATGTTTTCTTGTCAATTCAGTATTTAAACACTGAAAAAGTTGTCACAACAGAAACTAAAGGAATCGCTTTGTGTTTATAAGCACTTAAGAGAAAATGTAAAAGTTAAAGCATTCCTGAATGTTTTATAAATAATTACGACAGAGTAAAAGCCCACTACCAAAGACTCCACTCAAAATTTCACAGGAAACTTTGCTTGAATATAGGGTAGCTATAAGGTCATGACAGAGTCATGAAGATTGGTTTCTAGGTTTTTTCCAACTCAGAGAAGTGGAAAGATGGAGAAGTATTTTTACTGTAAGCCAGGGCAAAACTTGCACCCTAACTGCAGACAAGAGCAACTGCATCAGCTGCAGCCACCTATGCACAAAACTTGATGGTAATCTGAAAAAAGATAAGGAAGACCAACACCTGTCTATGCTGATTCCAATAATTTCACTGCTTTGAAGTTACCTCAACAATAATTAATACATGAAAAGTTCTCTTTCAGCCTGCTGACTTTATTCTCCTATGACAACGCAAGTACATAAATACAAAGCAAAAAGTTTCCCGAATATGCTGGTACTGAAGTGGCATAATTGTCATATACACATCCTGAGAGAGAGATGTATATGCATATTGTATGACATAAATTATACATCCAAATCATATTTCAGTACCGATCAAAACTATGTACCAAAATTAAAAACTCAAAATCAAGACCGGTCATCATTCTGCTCTTTCCAAAGGCAACTCGATGCCCATGGCAAATGTTTCACGTAAAAAAACATCACCAACAAGAAAAAACCTGCTGTATATAAGGCTAGAGGAAAACAGTGAGCTATAAAATGGGAGAAAAAGTACTGAGAATGGAAAAGGAAAAATTATAATTAATTCATCACAAAGCCACTGTACTTTTAATATGGACTAGGTGAATTTAAGAACCAGGAAAGAAGCAACCTATTATTTTAAAAGTAAAATAACATATCAATAGTCAAATCAGACCTAGATCACAGAAGTCAGAAGAGGAGGGAGCATTTTGATGCCAGTGGTAGAACTTTGAATGACTGGGGAGCAAAAAAGAGACAAGGCAGAAGACAAGTGTAGATTTGGGATTTACAAAAATAATTTGATAATGTCAAGTACAGTAAATTAGCATTTTAGAAGTGGCATTACTTAAATCCTGAGAAATTTTATGTTTGCTATTAAATATTTAATAGTTAGAAACTGCTTTTTATGCAAAGCCATGATATAGGCAAGAAAGCAATTATATAGGCAAGAAAATATTAAGACACTATTATACAAATGGGGAAATTTGAGACTGCCAGACTTTAATATTCTTGTCAAACTTTATTCTTAATAGGGATAAAATTCAAGTCAGGTGGTTCATACAGTATTTTACTTGATATATGTATATTATCACATACAGAATTTTCTGATTGACACCCACCAACATGTTAAAATTTCAATGTTCATAATAAAAAACAGTAATTGCAATATGGAAACAGTAACTTCCATATTTCAAGGGCATATTGATTGTCAGCATTTAAGCAAAATTGTACTTTGCATCTTCAGGTGGTTTCAGGCTCAATAGGGAATATAAAATTAAACACCTTAAACTTACACTGTGCATTTCTTCAGCCATAGCTCTTTCTGTCTCACTAAGGTAGTGGTGAGTCTTTAACAGCCGGCTGATTCATATTTTCCTGAGCTTCCAAGACAAAAAGGAGATTTTATTTTATAAATGGAATTTGTTTTTCAACCACCAATGAGAACAATAATATATATTTAACCTTTCACAGGTCTTTTCTGATCAAGGCCATGCATATATAACTGAACCCTTAGAGTTAAAGATAACAAGGCAGATAACAGTGCTTAAGATTTCAGGGCAGATAGAATCATTAAATCTTCTTGCCTGACCTCCTGGGTATCACAGAACAAACACTTCTATGCAGCAGCTCCCATGCAGAGCCTCAGACCCTTTCTGACTAAATCTTATCTTGCTTTAATGTGCAGATGACTCAGGAAAGTTTCCAGGAGGTCATACTGAACTTGGGATAGGCAAACCTGATGCAGGGATCTTGGGAATCTTTGTCCTTAGTTATTTAGACAGACTAGAAGACAACTGTCTTGCCATAAATATAAAGCCTAGTCCCCAAGTCAAACCTACATGTAACATGCACCTTTCCCTGTGCAAACATGAAGTTTGGTCAAATACAACGTTCTTTTTTTTTTGGCAAAAAGAAGAAGTCATGTCCAGCAATATGAAATGACTACTTCTATAACCCTGGGTGACCAAATCTCTTCATTTTCATATGGGGAATAATCCTACAAACACTGGCAGAGTAGGAAAGAAGGCCAGCTCCCAGGGGCAGGGGGCACACAGGGCAGCTCCTCAAAAAAAACTGCTCTTTAGATTTCTTGCTGTGTATAAAGGAATTACAGTATCTATAAAAGGGAATATTTGTAGCAAAGGAAAATAGTTCTGACTTGTGTCCTGTGCACAGCCTGTTCTTCTGCATGTATCTCTTTGTGTGAAGTGGGATGCAGGGGAACCTGCATTCGCCAGAAAGGCAGGTTCCAGCTGCTGTATTTTGGTCCGGGAAGCAGGAGAATATTCTCTTCAGCAGAAGAAGGGGACGTTGGGCAGTCTATTTGCTCACTTCCCATTCAGAATACAAGTACCACTTATCTCTCTGCCTGCTGCAGTACCTCCTAGCAAACTAAAACCTATGACTTAACATCATACTGAACTAAATCTATGTACACCTTATTAATCAATTCCAGCAATGAAGGAATTCCAAACATCCACTTATACTAACCAGCTACTACAGGTTGTCAGAAACATATTGCTAATTGTTCATTTGATAGACTGTCTTTTTCTAGACGTATTTCCTAGAGGCATTTTGAGAGAGCTACAAAAGGCCTATTTGGTAAACATCTGTATTCCCTTAAATTACTCGGCAAAGTTTTATATTCCAGACAACAGCAGGTGAAATATACAGCAGGACCTTGAGCATTGCTGAAGCACGGACTCCCCAGCTGATTTACTACATTTCCCTATGAGGTCGGTGACAGCAGCACTCTCTCGGGGGTGGGTGTCCGTGGTGACTGACTTGACAAGGTGCTTTGTGTGAGCCTTGCAATTCCGTGCAGACAGGGAGGCTTCCTGCACTCTGCTGCTTACACAGGTCATGTTCCAGAAGAAGCAAGGTGCCTGCAGTGAAGCCCTGAGCCCTGGTTTTATGTTACAGGAAGGGATCTGATGGCTTCAATTCCTACATATTTCACTTGCATAAACCCATTTCCATGGGCTTCATGGAGAAGTCAATGTCACCCAGCCAGTGTGGAAGATACTCACCCCTAAACAAACTCAGATGCCTAGGCAAGTCAACGGCACCACTCAGTTGCTCCAGCGCGCTGTGCATCTCCAAGGAGAATCCCACAATCCCAGAGCAAACACCTACAAAGGTCCCTTTCAGTTCCTCCCAGAGGAAGGAGTGCCAACCTCGGCCCTTCAAGTAGTCCGTGTACCCCTAAGACATCTCCACAGGTGGGAAGACAGAGCAAATTTTAAACCAGATTAGTTAATGAGTTAAGGATAGGAGTGAGTGGCTTGCACAAAGCACCAGAGAAGAGTCATGTTACAGGAATATGGAGTACCTGTTCTTTGCTTGGGTCTCCTTAAGCTTCTACCTCTTCCCAGGGAAGCACTGACACAGCTCATGCACACACTGTTCTTCGGGCACTTGAACTCAGCCAGGTATTGACTGAGACCCCCCATGTCTTAGCAGCTGCAGAAGTTGCACCTCTCTCATTGCTCACGGCAATTGCTGTTGGTCAATACAACGTAGGTCTTTGTAGCCCAACCCCAAGTTCCAAAATAAAATGATGTTTGCTCTCATAAAAGTTTCCACAGCAACCTTGGGATCATTATGCATTATCTTATGAGAAGAATTCAGATATTTCTTCTCCTATGCCTATGAGCTTCATCTTTGCATTAAGGTACTTCTCTCCATATGGGTTATGGCAATCTATTATACTTCACTGGAGAACAAATAGGCATCCCACTGAAGTAGAAAAACTTGTTTCTAGAGAAAAACATCCCTTTCTCTTCTCCAGAGAAAATACATACAATTACAAGAAAAGCTGGCATCACACCCATCGTAACAAACATCTGGTCCCTACCCCAAAGAACACACAGCCCACAGATGCAATGAGTGACAAACAGAAAAAAAAAACAATACTGTTCATGACAATAACATTCCAGTGATGTGTTCAGGAATGTTCTCAGGACAGTAAGACATGTATTGAGTAACATACATGACATTCTGCATGTACTGTACGGGAGGAGAGTTACCTTAAGAGCATTTACCACTGATTCAGACTGCTGAGAAGTTGAGCCATGTCCAGTGACGTTAGGTGGCTCGTTTGGAGAGCAGTAACTCCCCTCCGCCCCTGCTGGCATCCTATTGGGATCCTTCATAAAAAATTAAAAACTATTTAATAAGGAGAAGGGTTGGAAACTAATTAAAACAGATGTCACCTCTAAATAAATAAATAAATAAAACAAGCAGTGAAGGCATGCCCCACTCCAGAGTCACTCTAGGCATCTTAAGCACTACTGAAATCAAAGGATGCTCACGGTTACTGGCAGAGCAATCATTAAAGCACTGAGCAGAGCGGGGTACGAGGGTCCCTGCTCAGCTCTGTAACCACCCTCTCACTCTGCAAGGCCCTTGGCAGGGGCCTCTCTGTGAAGGGCCAGCTCTGCCCAGGAGTCTGCTGAAATACCAGGGACATCATGTCAGCCCAAGCACGCTGAGCCTCAAGGATGTCTATCTGAAAAACCAGGACGTAAAAATAACAATATTTGCCTTGCAAAAGTGATGTTGGGCTCAGAGCAAGGCAATATTGACTCCAAAACAAGGTTTGGAGAATGTCTCATTTTATCTCAGCAAGTTCTGGAGCTGTTTCCTTCAATAAAATTAGAGCTTTTTTCAGCTCCCTGGCAAGGTTTGCAGTGCAAGCAATCTGGATCCCACCAGGCAAGGTGCAGGGAGAGACCATGGGTGCCCTTCCCCTGCTCAGGTTGCTCCCAAAACAGGGGCATTTCCTCCTTTACTCATGCAGTCCTTCGGCTGAGCCCTGCCTCAGAGGCAGCACAGTGAAAAAGGGAGAGGAAAAAGGGTGGCTAGAAAAAGTGACACCGTAGCAATGAAGTGATATGAAAGCACGGAAGGGTTTGCTCTGCAACTCTGCACCTTGTAGACAGAGAGCGGCCAAAACAACAGGTAATGGGTCAGCCCAAAATATCTGAAAAGTCAGGGAATAGAGCAGGGGTCTGCAGAGATTGCTTTAATTCAGGAGATCTTAATTCTGCTGCCGGCCAGGTGGGAGGTGTAGGGCAAATCGTCGCCCTGTACCTCTTTTTCTGGCATCATCGCATCCATCACTCGCATGCAGTATGATTTCACTTTATCCATGCCTAACTCCATAAGGTCCTTACGCAGGACATCAGCGCTGCTGCCATCCTCGCAGTTAGTGATGGTGATTTGTACCAAAGGGTGACAAGCAAGAGCGCATGCTCCTCCCACTGAGCACTTTGCAAGGGTTCTGCACAAATAAACAAAAACATCCCAACATCCAGCCTTAGGCAGCTCCCCCACCTCAGAGCCTGCAGGACGTAAAGCATTTCCTCAAGTCACTGCCAAGGAGCATAGAATCACAGAATCATAGAATCATAGAATGCTTAAGGTTGGAAGGGACCTCTAGAGGTCATCTAGTCCACCCCCCCTGCACACGCAGGGTCACCTAGAGCACGTGGCACAGGACTGCATCCAAGGGGGTTTTGAAGATCTCCAGAGAAGGAGCCTCCACAACCTCTCTGGGCAGCCTGTTCCAGTGCTCTGTCACCCTCACTGTTAAGAAATGTTTCCTTAAGTTCCTGTGGAACTTTTGGTGCTTCAGTTTGTGGCCATTACCTCTAGTTCTGTCGGTGGCCACCACTGAAAAGAGACCAGCACCATCCTCCTCACTGCCTCCCTTGAGGTCCTTATACACCCTGATCAGGTCCCCTCTCAGGGGGCCTTCTCTTCTCCAGGCTGAACAGGCCCAGCTCGCTCAGCCTCTCCTCATAGGGCAGATGTTCCAGGCCCCTGATCATCCTTGGAGCCCTGCGCTGGACTCTCTCCAGCAGCTCCACATCCGTCTTGAGCACAAGGCACAACTGCAGTGCTGAGGCAACCTCATCTCACAGCCTGCTTTGGACGAAGGCTAAAAATACCCCGCTGCATTCATGCAAAAGCGGTGTAATAGCTGCACCACCACAGACAGCCAGAGCAGGCACTTCTGGGTTGCTTTCAACCTGACCTGTTCTTTTAACTTGATCCTTCACTGTCATTCTTCATGCAGAATTTTGTTTAGAAAATAGAACAAGGGAGGAAAAAAACCAAACATTTCAAAGAATATGAAAGAGGGAAAAGTTCCTTTCCTACAGGATTAAAAATGCCGTAGGAAACATTAAAGATAACATCACAGCAATTCCTGTTAAAATGTGTGGAATGCCTTTCTGAAGGAAAAAAAATAATGACAGTGGTAAGCTCCTCTGAGCAGAATCAGGGCCCTGATGTGCACTAATCCTCCCCATTGCGCAGGGCTTTTGAAGTATTTTTGGGGGTGTCTAAACAACAGAAAAAATGAAGGTGAGAGGAAAAGGGCACAGGGAGATGGCATGCAGCTGAATTTCACAGACCCAATCTGCCTGAAAAGTATTAAATTAAAAGGTGCTCCGGTCCAAAGGAAGTTGCATAACTTCATCAGAAAATGCCAAATCCATTGGCAATAAGTGATGCTGCACTGATCATACTAGTGCCAATGGGTAAACGATGACATGCAGCACAAGGCACAGAGAATGGCTGCCACTGCTGCACGTTAGACCTGATCCCAGGCTTCCCCAAGGCACGTGAGCACCCACATTGCAGGACTGAACCTCACACACGGAAAAAAAAAAAAAAGACAAAAAAAGACAACCCTAAAAGCAATTCAAAAATGAACATGTTGCATATACCAAGCCCAGAGAAAAGATATCCTGAGCCTCAATGTATAAGATACAGATGTATAGATGAAAAGATATCCCGAGCCTTTTCGGTACACAAGCTTGTCTTCAAGTCCGCTGTCCCGTCAAGGAAGGGGTGTCAAGGAACGTAAGCAGGTGTGGACAGCAATGCACCTCCTAGGCCATGTATCATCCTACCCTTCTCCACAGCGACAACTATTATCAATTTGCTGTGATCTATGGAAGGAGATTTAAGACTTATTTTTCTTTGAGAAGGATTTATAGACCTGATGGTCACAGGGCAGGCTTAATGCTATACTTTGGAAAAGGAAATGAAAGAGGAAGGAAAAGGAGTAATAAAGAAGATTGGAGCAATTCTGATTTAGGACAAATTCCCTCAGTCAGCCTTGTTTTTTATAAGTCAGTATATCCTGTTTCTTCACCTACTCAAGGGCTAGCATTGATTTCAGCCAATTTCAAGCAGTATAATACAAAGAGTGCTATTAAAGGGCAGGCAAAATTAGCACACACCCATCTAAAGCTTCCTGAATATCAGAAAATCTGAAAGTCCTGTGAACTGTGCTGTTGTCAGGGCTCTTCCTCTAGACAGCTTCCCTTCTCTCACAGCCACTTCTGTGCCATTTGCAGCACATTTCTGTCTCCCTTCACAAGGATGAGAAACTTGTTGTGAACATTCATTGCTTTAAGCAGACAGTGTTCTCAACACATGCTAGTAGAATAATGAAAATTAGTATTTCCCCTGTGGGCTTCCTTCTCCCTCCACCTCCTCCTGTACTTTATAAGAGAAAGAAGCATTTCTTAAAAACTAAAACAAAGTTTGCAGCACTTAATCCCCACCCTTCTGGCTTTGGGATTTCTCATGAGCCCTCCTAGTTTTACATCCTAACAGCAGAATTTGCAGGAGACACTGTGCTCTTAACTGTTGTACCCAAAATTAGGGAGAAAGAACCAGGGCCACAGTGCCAGAGCTGCTGCCACTGGCCTAATGTCACATAGAACACTGGGAAGAGACTGGGAAGTGCCTGGGAACTTCGGGATAGGTCTTCCTTTCTCCCAGTAAATGGTTATTCTAAGAAGCCTCATTTTGGCATACACATTTTGAGACTCCTTACAGAAATCTGATCCTACTTTAAAAAACCCAAGTTAAGCCTGCTTGTCTTAAAATCATGCCAAACGAAACCACTAGCTAGTATTTCAAAACATTACAGATTTTTAAAATGCTTAATCTGAATTAAAGAGGGATGAGTGTCTTTCTACTCAAGGAAATCAAGGATAATTTTGTATTACCTTCCCCTTTTGCATGGGCACCTGTCATTGGGAAGAGCATGAATCACACAGGAAGCAAGATGGAAGATTTGCTTCTGAGCAAGTCTTAGACAAATCTGCTCAGGTCAGGCCACTCCACAACTGCAGCTTCTGCCTTCTTTGGAGCTCTGGAGGAGACAGAGGACTGTGCCACTTGCAACACAGGCCTGTTCTTCCTCAGCAAGTCCTGTGAGCCCCAAGACACTTCACTCCTATTCACTCCATGATGAGTTTTTCATGCAGTAAAGGACAAAATACTCTTGCAAAAGTGGTGACATCTGCAAACAAGATGCCTGAGGAGCCCAGAAAGTTTGTTTCTTGGACCTACGGTCACAGCAGCTGTTCAACAGTGGGGAGTCTAGCAATGTTTATCCTTTCACCAGAACGTGACCTGCTTTTCTCTCCGCTGGGTCCCTTTCCCACCACTGCCAGACCAAGGCTGGTAGATTATAACCATATTCTCAGAAAGAACTTCAGGAAGCAGGAGGATTCCCTGGTCCCTTTCTTCTCTAAGGCCACACTGCGCATTTCTCTTCAGTCACTCACAATGGGCATCCCATGTGTCCTCGTGTCTAGAACATGTCTTTTCATTTACTATCCAGAAACCAAGCTGCAGACATAGAAACAAATCAAACAGAAAGGATAAAGACTTGGCTTCACATAGCAGTGCTGAAATCTGTATTAATTTTAAACATTTGGAGCCACTTAGAGTAAATGCTACTGGACACAGTTGATACATGATGAAGAACTGACTTTTCCCTTCATGGTACACCAGCAGACTTCCCTATTGCCCCTGTGCAGCCCCCCTGCCCAAGCTACTGCATGGTCTGCAGTTGGGATCCTCCGAGTCAAGCGCTTACTGGGGGTAAATTATACAGCTGAGGCAAGCACATTGCCTAAAGGAGGTAAAACACATAATATTCCCTGTATATTCTGCCACAAAGATAGAGATGTGCAACTAGTAAATAGGCAGATTCATTTTCTGATGTAAGTAAATCCATAAAATATCTAATTCTAATAGCAATAAGCAACTCTAGTGAAGAGAAAGCACTGGAAACCTGCCTGGAGCCCATAGACTGCTTAACAAAGAAACAGAT